AGACTGGGGTTCAGTGATGCAACCTGGTCATGGGGAGCTCTGGGGGGCACTGCATCGATGTGCTCTCACTGGCTGCTAGGCTGAGCTGCACCAGACTTTTCTCGTGACCGTTTCAGTGCCTTCACTATTTTCTGTTCTGGTTACCTTCAAGCCAGGGCAGGTACGAATCCTCTACTTAATATCCCTCACTCTGCCTTAAAAAATTGTGATTCCCTCCAGTCTCTTTGGCACCTGCCTTTTATTGCCCTCCGTACTCATTTAGACGCCTCCCATTAGACAAAGAATGAGAGGGAAAAGCAAAATCCTCTAAATATTCCAAGTTTGGGGGAATATAAGTGATTTTAAAAAAACCTGAAATTTGTCATAATTTTGAAAAGTTCAAGAAAAGGAGCGTGTCCACAGGATCAAAGGTTTCTTCCGGATGATCTGTTTCTGATGACGGCAGATGGAGCGTGTCTTACGAGGGCTGAACTTTATTCACTCTGTTAGTCAATCTAACCCAACGCTAAAGACCAAGTGCAAGTTAGGACTGCTCAGGTCAACTGTTGGCAGTTAGCAGCATGTCCATCTCAATCTGATTACTGGCCTCTTTCTGTTTTAATTGCCAAGGGCCCCCTTTCTCATTTGCTTGGCACACGTCAGGGGTGTGTACAGAGGAAGGGGAACAAAAGGTCACTTTTTATTTGGTGGGAACCCAGCGCATGGTTTCCCCTGAGTAAAGTGAGGAGAATGCCTCTGGAAGAGCCAGCCCATTCTTGATATATTCAAAGCTTGCTTTTTTTTTTTTTTTTAAGAGCAGTGTATATACTAACAGGCTATTGACCATTTAAGTGCCTTTCTCCTCTCACTGGAAGGGCCTGGAAATTCACGATCAAAGAAATTACACTACAAGGACAGTGGTGCCATTGTGCTAAAAACAATTTCAAAAGATGTTTGTCACCTTGAGAAGGAAAGCATTAACACCCTGAAACCTTTAAAAGGCATCAGGCAGAACTGGGCGGCTGGACTAACATCTGAAATGCATTGACTTATTTCAATACAATTAATAGCAGAACAAAGAATGTCCCGCTTTTTAATCACATTTTTAAAACCAAATTATCTATTCTTGCTCTGTGTCGTCCCCCTCCATAACACACAGATACTCCCTAAAGCAGACTAAGCCTTTCTGATATTTACAAACACACAGTTTAAAATGATCAAAACAGTACATTTCAACACCACCTAGCAAACGTGCACGTTGATAATACTGCCCAATTTTGTACCTGTGACAAAATGCTGGTTAAAATCAATCAAATGGGAAAAGGCTGCTTGGATAAAAAAGCTGCATCCCTATTCCTTTTTCAGCTGGCATAGAATGGATGCAGCTGAACAGAACCTGTTTCACAATAGGAAACTCCTATGAAAAAAGAAATGAGTATGAGTGGGCAAAGATGAACGGCTCAGTGATTAAAATGCTGATCTCTTTATCCTTCCCCTTTACAAATAAGCCTTGAGATCACCATCTTAACTAGATTTAGAGTTAAGTCCAAACAATGCACTCAGGCACACACCCAAGAACAAGCAACACCTGGGGACTAAAAGAAATGTACATTTCATGATTCTCCATCTCATGCACCACTTCCGTCCACTCCCCCTGTCCCTTTTAAGCAAATAGGCTTTAAATTGGAAAATGTTATACACCCACTTAGAAGGCCACCATAACATGTGGGCACCTGAGGCACAATAGTAGCAAAGGGGAGGGACTCAAAAAGGGCAAGTTGTCCAGGACTCCCTGCCATTTCTCCAACAAAAGGCAGGTGAACACATTCATGCTCTGAGCAAGGGAACTTCTACCTTGAGAATCTTGTCACTTCTGGGCTTGTTCTAACTGGCTATCCACACTAGCCTGGTTTGTGGCAAGTAACAAACGTTTGTTCTAAGCCTGGCTCCTTTGCTGTGACCTGCTGACAGCTATGTAATTCACTCATTAGGGCTCTTTGACCTTTTAGTTGACGTTAAATTAAACAGAGTAAACACTGATTTTTGTACAAGATGAGTTCTAATATTTCAACCTAGAGTGTAACTGTTAAAAATGGCTGAAAATGTGTTATTTTCATAAAACGAAGTGTCATTCAGTCTACGCACACTCCCAAAGCTAGTGTTTCCATAATCTTGTTGGGATACCAAAAATATTTTTTTTCTACTCTTTTGGAATCGAATCATTTGGATAATAGGGCAGCAGCAGCAACACAGAGAATGCTAAGAGAACCAAAATGTTTGCAAACAAACTTTCATTATTCTAGTTCAGTCTTTCACAAACATACTGTACAGAGTCTTATATGGTATAAAACAAACAAAGGAAAACATCTCTTGTCTATTCAATTTAACACAACACCAAAATAAAGCAATTAAGACTTTGAGGAATTCAAAGGTACAAGAAAACAAAAATGGTTAGCACTAATTCCTCAGCTTTTATCACCGTAAACATTTGTCATTTAACAGACATAGTGTCTGATATAATTTCTTTTGTACTGCAAATACGTTTGGTCTCTCCTCACTGTAGAACAAATGAAGAATTAAATGAACCCCATAGCATGCTCTGAAGGAGATGAAAAGATAAAGCCCCTAGACACATCTAGCTTATCTTTAAGAATCTATCATTTGTGAAATTTTCACAAAGAAAAAATACTGAATCCTCAACTAATGATGCTTATTTTTGGAAACAATAAATACTGTGAGGTACGATAAATCCTACAGGAATAATAAAAAGAGAAACATATTAACAGTTTCCTTTGGCAAATTTAACGGAAGTGAATGCTGATGTGAACCTAGAAAAAAAAAATCACAAAACATATGAAAGATGGAAATAACATTAAAAGTTAAGACAAAGGGGGTATTTCTAACTTTTAGACTGCTGAGAGAAATGTTTGAGGCCCTTAAATGCAGAAAAGAAATACATTCTCTTTAAATTACTGTGTACTGTTTGACAAAATATTCCTTGTTTATCTCTTTTTTTCCCCCCTCCACTTAAAAAAAAAAAAAAAAAAAAAAAAAAAAAAAAAAACAGACAACAAAACACAGTCTGCAACTCACACCCTAATGGTTTTGGCTGCAGACCGAACTTGAGTAAATATCATCATTTAGTCAGTATGTGTGGTAGCTGAGGCTGCTGATGTGGTAAACCAGCTCAGGCAACATGTGTAAACATCGGGAACAAAACAAAACAAAACACAACAAAAAAGGTTTGGAGAATCCTCTCCCCTCCTCTTTCTCGCTCTCGATTGCTTGGTTTCAGGCTTGCTTTCATTTCTCTCTGACAAATTGTGTGGGGAAACACAAAACACTAAACAGTGAGAGATCCTATTTTAAACCCCCTTCTTCTGGCTTTTCAGAAAGGAGTGTTGCTTAGTTCAAGTTCAGCACATGTTTGCAAAGCTTCCAAGTACTGCTGCTGCCGCTGTTAAAGGTCTTTGATTTTGTCTATCAAACCAGCCTGAATCAGACTACTACTGCAGAACGTGCCGTGAATTACACAGCCACACAACAGACCAACCCAGTTCAGACTTTTTCTTTTTAAAGGATTAAGGGCTAGGTCCTTGCGAATGAGTGCTCAACTCTTTTACTGGATTCAGCTTTGTTCCATAGTGAGTAATTTGGGCTTTTGTATCCTGAAATATTATCCAGCCTCTAAAGAATAAATGCCTTAGCTGTTTCACACCACATAATTTTGTTTTCCTTTTATGTAACTTAACATATAAGCAAGAAGGTTGCAGTGCTGATTGTAATAACATTCGGCACTTGAATCACCAAGTGTTTTTTTCTAAAGCGGTTTTCTGGTGGCCGACAAATTGGCCTGTGGTTATGTTGAGTGACTAATTGTATTTTCTTTTCTGGAAACTTGTGCAAAGTTGGCAGTTTTGTGTTAACACTAATACTTTTGTTTGGCATTTGTGCCCTATACTGACCAGACCATTTTTATACAAGTGAATTTTTTTAAAAAGACACTTACTCGAAGTATGGCAATAGTTTAAGGATAAAAAAGAAGCATGGATATTACACATCCCCTTGTAGTGTATGAAAAAAAGTGCATGACTGGATTTATGTACTAGTACAGGACATTTTAAAAAAATCAGATCTGTGCTGTAAGGCATGCCAGCACCTCTTTATCACTATATCTAGCAGGTAGTAAAAACAAGACCATGTTTTTTTTTTTCCTTAAAAAATGTGCATTAATGCTAACATAAATGAATAGAGCTAGCCAGCAAACTATTTTTTTCCTGTATATCTATCTAACAGCTGATGTAACTGTAAAAAATTAAACAAAAGAGTTAAACAACCATCAATACAACTGTTTTACATCATTGGCCTCTCAAGGCTAAATATTTACAGGTGAATCTGCCATGCTTTAATTGAAGATTCTCTCAAAACGTTAAAGTTCACAAAAGACAACTATGAGGAGTTCCTTTTTTGTTTCTTTTTTTTTCCTCCCTTTTATTTTTTTTGCAGGCAACAGTCATGGGTACAACAAATTGTCTCTTTGGAGAGGACCAGGAATTATTATTCTGTCAAAATTTGGGCTAGTTGCACGCTTTTATGTGTGGATGTGTGTATACGTGTTTAAAGGGTACTTTGTTTTCACCCCCAAATGAAAGATCCGACCTATAAAGGGAAAAGAGAAAAAAACTTCAAAAGCACCTAGTGTTTATCTTTTTGTATCTAAAGAAAAGAAAACGTGTGTGTGTGTGTGTGTGTGTGTGTGTGTGTGTATATGTAGACACAGGCATACGTGTGTATACGCACACACATATACATACACACACACACACACACACCATCCCAAGTACACAAGCACACACTGACTATGGCAGTTCAAATACGTAGGCCGTCTGGTGACGCACACACATATACATACACACACACACACACACACCATCCCAAGTACACAAGCACACACTGACTATGGCAGTTCAAATACGTAGGCCGTCTGGTGAGAGCTGGCATTTGTAGTGTCCTTTCTGAGACTAATCTACCGAAGTGAAGGGAATGTTTTTGTGGAGATTAGGGTTCTGACTGTGCCGATTCCGGCTTCGCACAGAGGAGAACATCATATTGCAACCGGGGACTTTGCACTTGTGCATTTCTCGCAAATGCACGGTTTTGTAGTGCACTCGCAGGGTCCCCTTGTTGCTGTACATCTTGTGGCAAATGTTGCACATGATCCCACCATTGCTCCCGGACAAGCTGTTGAACATCAGAGATCCCGAAACGTCAGCCCCGAGGCTGCCAGCGAGGGTGGGGACCTCGGCCTTGTGCGCCGACTCCCCACTGTCACTCGCCCCGTCGATGTCATCCAGGAGGATCCCCTCGTCGCTGCCTGCGTCGGATTCTCTGGAGGAATGGATGCTGCTGCTGGACTGGAGGCTGGAGGTGGTGCTCAGGTCCAGGACCATGTAGTCCTCCGCCATGCCCCGCCCGTACCCGTTCAGGTGGGAGTCTTCTGTCCCCGCGGGAGAGGAGGCGTCTTCCCTGACGTCGAGCCCCAAGGGGTGCTGGGCACCATAGATCTTCATCAAAAATTCATCCCGGAGGTCCTTGCTAAGGGAGGGCTGCGATGAGTCCAGGCCCATGTCATCGAGTTCTTTGGTCAACAGTTTACGATGGAGATTGATGTTGGCACTGTGTCTAGGAAAACAAGAGGGAAGGGGGGGTAGGTGAACAGGGAGTGGGGAGGGTGAGAAAAAGGAGAGCATTTTAAAATTGATTCAGCTTCCACTAGGTACCACATAAGCACATTCATTGCTAATGACACCCCTGTAAAAGCAAACATTTCCCCACATCCTCAGGATTTGGGAATAAGTGGTGGTGGGGAGTGCAATAAGGGGAGCTTTTCATTAACATAATTTTTATAAGAGAGTAAAATTCCTCAGTGGTAGGATGAATGCAAACCCATGCACCTTTTCCTGAATGATTGTTCTGTTCGTTTTACACTGTAGCAGCATCAGCTGCAGAGAATCTCACGGCAGAGATTTGAAAAAATACATTAAATAGCATAAAAGGACGGAAACGTTCTGCTTGTCTAAACGGAACAATTTGAATTTACCTAAAAACAAAACAAAAGCCTTTTTCTCCTACAGCAAACACTTTTAGAGGTATAAAAAGGATCCTTTTTTTTAAAAAAAGTAAATGGTCTAGATAATTTAGGGTTCACTTGACAAAATAATGACTCGTTCCCCCTCACCTTCCTACACTGCAAGTTTTAGGTAGGAAAAACAATAAGCTTAAAAGGTTAGCAATTTGAAATAGGATTACAGACTGTCTTTAAACATAAATCCCTTTTTGCAGAATGGGATCTCAGCTAAATCTAATAGTAAAATACATTTATTTTCAGAAGCTGCTACATTTTAGAGTTGAAAATGTTTTCAAGTAATTTAAGTTTTAAAATTTAATTCTTAAAAAAAAAAAAAGCTGAAAAACAGAAGTTGACTATTTAAATAAAACCCACCCACCCTTAAAAAAAAATCACACTCAACAACAGAAAAAAAACCCAAAGGGACCAAAAAAGCAAAAACCCCACACACAACAAATACCAAAAAAAAAAAAAAAAAAAAAAAAAAAAAAAAAAAAAAAAAAA